CCTCCGCCCCTCCCCTGCTCGGTGAGTCTGCAGGTTCACTCTGCTCCTCTCTCCACCCTCCTCCCCTGCTCCTCCTCCATTCTGTTTTGCATTTACTTTGCTTTTGCAGGCTGCTTTGGGCAGGAAGGGCAGGAGCCTGCACACCCACACTGCATCCTGTGTGCAGCTGCACCTGTCCCCACTAAGTGCTGAGGGCATTTCGATGCTGTGCCAGATGGCTCCCTGCCCGCCCACAGGAGATCGGGAACCTGAACTGGCTCCTGTGGAAATTTGAAACTTGCTCCCTTCACAGGGTGGTGGGTCCTCCTTTGCTTAGTCACTGCCCCTCCTGTCTGGGGATGCAGGGACTTGTGTCACTGGAGGGGATCAGTGGGCAGGCCTTCTCCTGGGCCTCCCAGGGGCATTGGGGATATTAGCCATCTCTGCCTTCTTGGTTGATCTTTCAAATATTTCCTCTCTCCCCAACTAAAAATTGGCTTTTAAAAATGTATTTCCAGGGCCCAGAATGCTGGGGTCCCTGCCACTGCTGGAGAGTGCCCTGAACTTAGGCCTGAGCAGCTCTGCTTCCTGTCCCGGCTCTCCCTTCATCTCACAACAAACCACTGGGGTCACCCGACCAGGCAGTTGTGCCCACAGATAAACTCTGGCAAAATATTTTTTTTTTAAAGTTTTTATTGTTGAAAGTATATGTCTCCTTTGCCCCCCATTGACCTCTTCTAGCCCCGCCCCATTTCCCAACCCAGGCCTTCACCACCCTATTGTCAGTGACCAGGGTTTATGCATATAGGGCAAAATGAATTTTCAGGAGCAAGGAGGCACAAACCAGGCCAGCAGCATCCTGTCAACGATTGCTGGTCTTTCCACCACCCCTTATGGCGGTCACAGAGACCTTGTGCTCATATCCTTTTGGCTGGTAGCTTTGAAGTCCCTGCTATTCAGTGTCATGGTGTGATACAAAGAAGAGAACTCTGGACAAAGTTTGGGCTCTGTCATGGTGTGATCCTGGCTCCCTAAGTTGAAAAGTGATAGCAACAATAAAACAATGCCAAGCCTTTCTTCCCCCAGAGAGCTGCAGTGAAAATTAAATGAGTAAGTGTATTCTAAAAGATCTTGGTATCATATGCAGAGGTCCTCTGATGAGTTAATCACCTCTCCTAGGTCACTGCCTCCATTTCTGGGGGTGGAAAGAGGAAAGAGGCAAAGGATCCTACCTGGATCTTTCAATTCTGGCTTCCCTTTGCCATTGTTTGTGGGAACTTCTTTACCTTCTCCTCAGATCTAGGACTACAGAGCTAAGGACCCCGAATCTATAGACAAGGAGGCTGGTGCCACAACCTTATGCAGCAAGGATTCAGAATCTGGAGAAGGGTCTACACACAAGTGGATATACTAGATAAGAAATATAAATTTAGAAGGCATGTGGGAAAGCCAGGGGGAGGCCTCACCCTCCAGTGGAGTGGCTCTCCGTATCTCTGGACCCATGGCTTTTTATTTACTGGATTATACATTTGCCTTTTAGCAAAGCAAACAGACATATCAAAAGTAAGGCTTGGTAAACAATGAAAGATTATCAGGTTAGGAGATTGCCTTTAGCCACCATTGTCTCGACAGAACTGTAGGTGCATAGCTTTCAGCCCTTGCTAAAGCCCAAGGTCCATCAGCCTTCTGACGGACCTCTCACATTTACTATGCTAACTACTTGTTGGTCTTTGCCTCCAGTAGGCTGGAACTTGTCTAAGGCCATACTGGGAATTCATAGCAGGATCAGGATTAGGGTCCTAGTCTCTCTGAGTCTTATAAATTCTGGAGGTTCCCCACTCCCACCTTGTTCAAGCTGGCCTGCCTGAGGGATGGCAGGTGCCTCTACACCTCCCAACTTGAGTGTCCCAGGATCTGCTCTGTGTCCCTTCCCTGCAGTCACAGCCTGTCTCCTTTCCCTCCCTGACTTTGAACCAAGAGACAATCCGCTCTGATCAGAGCTGCCTCCCTCTCCTAGCACATTCTCTCCCACAAATGATTTATAGGAATCAAATGATAGGCTGCAGCTATAAGTCAGCTCATTAGCCCCAGCCATGAAATAGATTGTTGCTGGGTAGCCATTGGGCATTTTTCTCTCTGCTACCCCACCTCTCCAGACCTGCCCAGCCAGTTGCACTCACTTCCTGCCTCCCCTCATAATTAAGCTTACCTGCCCTTGTCCATTTCTTTCCCCCCCTTTCTTTATTGATTAAGGTATTACATATGTGTCCTTACCCTTCCTCATTGCCCCCCTCCCTGCTCACCCCCCTGGTGTCTGTGTCCACTGGTTATGCTTCCATGTCCATTTCTCCCCGCATCCTCCCCTCCCCCCATCTCAGCTAGTGTGACAATTGGTTCAGGCCTTTACCCATTTAGTCATTCATGGATCATCTTTTAATTAATTTATTCCATCAGTTAGCAGATAGGAACTGGAAAACCAACCATGCTTCAGATACTGCATTAAGTACTTACATAGAACTCTAGGTCTGACTATCTGTGTCCAAATCTAGCTCCACCAGTTCTTAGTGAGTGATCTTGAGAAAACTATTTATGCCTTTAAGTCTTTCTCATCTGTAACAGCGGGATAATAATAGTACCCAGCTCATGGGGATGGTGTGAATATCAGGTGGGATAATGCACATAAAGAACTAAAACAAACATGTCATCATCATCTGCGTGTTCTCATTGATGGCCCCAATAACAGCCAGCAAACCCCAGCCATGGTGGCTCCTCCACCAACAGTGCTAGACCCCAAGCCACGAGGCCCTTGCTGAATAATGAACACTGTGTAACCTTAGATAAAGCAGAGTTTTAAATAATGAAGGCTCAAGGACACATTAATCCAATCGTAAAATAAAGCACGCATCCTGGTTCATTTTGGAAGCCTACACCCCTAGTTATAACCACACCCCTGATTATGTAATTATTACTAGGTTTTCCTTGTTATAAAGTCCAAATAAAGGGGCTCAATTTTATATTCACATTATCCTGGTTATCTTAAAAAAAAAATTACAACAGTATCTGGAATGTGAAAGCAATTACTAGTTCTACTAATAGTTTTCCTATTAACCACTATAATTATTAAGCACTGGTAATATACTAATCAAACACAGGCCATGGCCTTACGGAGGAAAGACAGGTAAGTATTTATAATGCGGAGTATGGTTGGGCTCATAGAGAACGCCGAAGGGGGTGCCCCTAAAAGCCTGAGTGGAAGAGACAGGAAGACTTCCCCAGGGCAATGCTTGAGCCTGGATTCAAGAAAGTAGACAAGTGAGAGGAGAACGTTTCAGAGAGAAACCAACTCTTCAAGAACCTGGAGGTGCAGGAAGGTAGATCTCCATGGGGCAACTAAAGGGGTTTGCCTGCTTGGATTCCAGGCTGGGAGGGAAAGATCCTGAAGGGCTTTGGGGGTGATGTTGACAGGTTTGGACTTTACTCAACTGTTGTGTCTTGAGCAACCTGGTTGAATTGGCATTTCAGAAAAACCACTTAGGCAACCATTTGGACAAAGGATAGATGGGAGGCTCGTTAGGAGCTGCTGTCTAGGCAAGTGGGAGCTTCAGGGAAGGCAGGACCAAGGCACAGAGAAGGGCCATTTTTAGGAAATAATCAAGAGTTAACCCAGTTACTGCTGGGCTAAGGGAAGTCAGGAAGTTGGAGAAGAATGAGGTGCTATAAGTTTCTCCCAGAGTGACTGGGTGGGCACTGTCCTCACTCACCAAGACCAGGGATGCAGGAGGAAGGAGAGAGGGATGAAGTTTCACTTTAAAAAATATATTGATGAGAGAGAGAAAGGGAAACAACAATGAGAGAGAAACATCAACATTGATCAAGTGCCTCTTGTATGCCCCCTACTGGGGAAGGAGCCTGAAACCCAGGCATGTGACTTGACCAGGAATCAAACCAGTGACCTCTTGCTGTGTGGGTCGACACTCAATCACTGAGCAACACCGACCAGGCAGGAGTTCCACTTTGGATAGAAGGTGGGTGACACATGTATAAATTCACTTTAAATTCTGATTGGGGATAGAGAGAGTTGGAAATACAGGAGGGAGAATGGAAGCTGATGACTGAGGTTCCTGAGAAGAGAGGACAAGGAACCTAGAAAACAGGGGGACACAGGAGGGAAAGGCAGGGTGGTTGTGGATGTAAGTTCTTCAGAAAGTCCCAGCCACTGCCTATAAAGAATTGTTCCCTTTTGTGTCTTCCTTCTCCCATCAGTTCTTTCCTCCCTTAAACACTCAGTCCAAGGACTTTTACTTTCTTACTATATTCAAGGTCATTCACTGGCATTCCCACTCTCTTATCTATTTCCAGAACTCTTCCATGAATCTTCCCAAGTTTTCTTCCTCTCCTGCTTTTATTTGAGAGTCACCTGGGACTTGGCAGATCTTACCCAAGACAATACTTTTGACTAAATAAATAAATAAATAAATAAATAAATAAATAAATATCATACTAAAGTGATCCAGAGTGGGCTCTATGTCACTTGATGTCCAGGAAGTGACTCTTCAGAATAAAAGAAAGGGCTCAGGTGCCAAGCAGAGTCCTAGCCTTGGGTCTCAATTGTGAGCTGTAGTCTTGTGGCCCTGGTTCTCCTTCTTGTAGGAGTTCAGCATCTCTCCATCCCCCTAGAAGCCCCATCAGCTTACCACTCCACCTGGCTCCCTCCCTCCCAGCACAGCACCTACCGCACAGCCTTTGCTCAAAGCCCATATAGCACAGGCCCTGACAGTTCATTGGCCAGGACACTTCATCTTACCAGAGCAACTTTGCCAAGAAAAACCTGAGGGCAAGTAAGAAAACCAGTTGTGATCCGCCCGGTAAGCAGGTGGCAGTGCAGCATCCAGCCCCGCCTCTACTGTCTCCTGGCGTCTCAGGGATGGAAGGTGAAGCAGACACTCCAAGACCGGATTCCTGAAGCTCCAGGCCATCCTGCTATTCTGTGGGGAGCAGCCCGAGTACTGACGGATGCCACCATGGCACAAGGTAGGGCAGGCCCATGGGGCTGCTGGAGGTCAGGGATAAGAAAGACAGAGAGACTGTAGGAAGTCAAGTGAGGGTGGATTCGTAGGAAGAAGAAAGCAAATAAAGAACAGAGTCAGGAAGAGTAGAAACTCCAGGAACCTCAGAATTGGTAGCCCAAGAACCAGGAGACAGGAGATGCCAGCAGGTAAACACAGCCAAGCAGCTGCATGCCAACATGCTGGCTTCTATAGCCCAATGGGACAGGGCAGGGTCAGGAAATAGGGGGTCATGGTTTCTGCTCTTTTCCATCAATTGACTCTTTGACATTGAGCAAGTCACTTCTCCAGTTCCCAGCCTCCTGTGCCTGAAAAAATGAGGGGGTTGGACAAGATAATCTTGACATTGTCTTCCATTTCTAGAAGTCTCTGAATTTCATATCTTCACTTCTTCCCCTACTTCAGGCTCTTCCTCATCTTAGTTAATCTTCTCACCATCACCCTTCTATTTATATCAATTCCCTCTCTCTAGAAAGAGCTGCTATGAAGATTAAATGGTTAGTTAAAATCATAAGAATAAGCTATAAAGTTTTACAAACATAGCAGACTCACCTTCATTTACTGTTTTGTGTTAAATTTTTATTTTTAAATTTTTAATTACATAAGAAATATACACAGTTGGAATAAAATAAAGCAATAATTACAGGTAAAGCTATAGTCAGTCCCTTTACCTCCAGAGAAACCACTGTTACCAGTCTTTTGTCTATACACACACACACACACATATATATATATGCACTCAATGTAATATTAGTATGTGTGACTTCTTTTTTTTGTATATCTTTAGTATAATCATATTGTACATATTTTTCTTCAGCTTGACTTTTTTTCCTCTCAACAGTATGCCTTAGGGCTCTATCCATGCCACTCAGTAACTATAGATTTTCACTATTTTCTATATTGCATAGTATTTTATATTATGGGTGTAAGTGATTTATTTATCCAGTCCCCTATTGTAAGCATTCAGATTGCTTCCCAATTTTTAGTTATATAAGCAATGTTGCAATGCAAGTTCTTATCTATACCTCTTTGTGTTTGTGTGAGAGTATCTCTCTAGCTGGATACTAAGACCAATTACTTTAAAAGTTCTTCCTGTCATTTTATTTCTACTTTATTGATCATTTCACTACATTCTTCTTGCATAACAAGAAGAACAAATATGTCCAATGTTAAATGTACCTCCTGCTTGAATATCTGGTGTGTGGGCTGAAGAATAATCCCTATGTTACAGGCAGATACTAGTAACTGGACCCAGAGGGTGAGCTTTGTCCCCACTATTCACTGTCAGGCAGATGTTACTACTCCTGCTGAGTAATCTGGGTCATGTGCCCAAGCTGAGTTAGGACCAGTTAGCAATCTCTGTCTAGTCAACTCTCTAGTTTTTTTTTTTTATCTCCCAAAGAATGAGCTTCTCGTTCCGCCACTAGGGAAAAGTCAAGTGCTTTCCCAACTGGCAGTGGGTTGGGTGTCCTTTCTGAACACGAGTGAAGGCTGGAAATGGGCGGGAGCTATTAGGTAATGAAAAGAGCACAGGACTTAAGCCAGTAACCTTACTTTTAATTTTGGGCAAGACATTTAATTTGCCTAAACCTTGGTTTTCCCTATGCCAACTGTGTATGGCACGACATTTCATGCCTCCACTGTTGTTGGGAGGATTCAATGAGAAAACTGTCTTAAGGTGCCTCGGACAGTGCCATCACATAGTACCGGAAACGGGCCCACAATAAGGTGTTCGTTGAATCTGAAATTTGAAATAAGTACAGGGTGATTATACAAAAGACAGAGAACTTTATTCAATCTAGTAAACATCTTTTAATACCTACAATGTGCTGAAAATTATGCTTATATTTCTTTTATAAGAAACGCATGCTTATTAGCAGTCATGTCTCATATCCTCCTCATCCCAGCCCCTGCTAAACTCTAATCTACTTTCTGCCTTTATGAATTTGCCTGGTCTGCATATTTTATATTAATCGAATCATATAATATGTGGCTTTTGTGTTTGTCTTCTTTCACTCTGCATAAAGTTTTCAACTTTCATCCATGTTATGATATATTCAGCATTTCTTTTATGGCTGAATAATACTCCATTATATGGAGATACCACATTCATTAATTAATCAGTTGATGAACATTCAGGTTGTTTCTATTTTCTGCATGTTATAAATAATGCTGCTATCAACATTAACATACAAATTTGTGTGAACATATGTTTTCAGTCTCTTGGGTATAGGAGTGGAATGTCTAGGATTGGAACTGCTGGGTCATATGGTAACTATGCTTAATATTTTGAGGAGCTGATGGGAATTTAGGCTGTTCCAAACCTTAGCTATTGTAAATTATGCTGCTATAAACATAGGGGTGTATATATCCTTTCTGATTGGTGTTTCTGTTTACTTGGGATATAGTCCTTTAAGTGGAATTACTGGGTCAAATGGGGGTTCCATTTTTAACTTTTTCAGGAAACTCCATACTGTTCTCCATAGTGGCTGCATCAGTCTGCATTTCCACGAGCAGTCCACGAGTGTTCCTTTTTCTCTGCATCCTCACCAGCACGTTTTGTTTGTTGACTTGTTGATGATAGCAATTCTGACAGGTGTGAGATGGTACCTCAGTGTTGTTTTGATTTGCACCTCTCAGGTGATTAGTGACTTTGAGCATGTTTTCATGTCTCTCAGCCTTCTGTATGTCCTCTTTCAAAAAGTGTCTATTTAGATCCTTTGACCATTTTTTTATTAGATCGTTTATCTTCCTTTTGTTAAGTTGTATGAGTTCTCTGTAAATTTTGAAGAGTAAGCCCTTATCAGAAATATCATTGGCAAATATGTTTTCCCATGCAGTGGTCTTTCTTGTTGTTGTTGTTGATGGTTTCTTTTGCTGTGCAGAAGCTTTTTCTTTTGATGTGGTCTGATTTGTTTGTTGAGGAACTTTCTTCTAGTCTTAATTTCTTGAGTATTTTCATTATGAAAGAATGTTAGATTTTGTCAAATGTTTTGGTTCATATTTCTTAAAATCTAAATACATATGAGACGACACAGCTGGGTCTCTGTCTCCATTGATTTGCATCTAGTGGTAGGAAACAGACAAAAAAGTAACTGCAGAAATAACTGAACATCTCATGCTGAGCCTAAATCTAGTAGACTCTCAGTAAAAGTTTGTTGATGTGAATGAACAAATGAGCATATTAACTTGTCAATTAAGCAGTGAAGGTTCCCTATTAGTGATGCAGTTACCTGCTGTAGATCAAGTGAAGATGGGACGAGGGATAGGCCAAATGAGGCAAGCTCTATGAGAAGGTGGGTCTTGAACAAGCATTGGAGGAAAAGTGGACTTTGGTTAGTGAAAGGCATTCTGAGATGGGGCTACAGCAGCAGCAAAATACATGGACAGGAAGGCGACCACTTGCTGGAAGACATCAGACGGAGAGGAAGACCCATGGTGAGAGTGGAGAGAAGTGAGAATTCAGGAGTAAGTTAAGACCAGGTATGAAGGATCATAAGGGTCAGGTTAAGGAGTGTGCATTTTGTATAGTGGGCTATTGGGTATCTCAGAGCTTTTAAAGCAAAAGAATGAATAATCAAGTTGTCTGGGGGAGAGGTAATCTGGTGATGTGTTAAGGGGTGGGAGATGTGGAGAGACAGAAAGAAGAAGACATGATGGAGACTGTTAGTGTCACTAGGAGTGAGGTGAGGAGGTTGGGATTACGTTAATGTGGAAAGGGACAGATGGGCACCACAGACATTTTCAATGAAAGAGTGAAGGGACTTATGATACATAAATAGATATAGACTGAGAAGGAGATGGCTGAGCCAACTGTGATTTAAAGTGTGTGATGCCATGTGCCTGGGAACCATGCTATGACTGTGTTTAAATGTGAAGAAGTCAGAAGTGAATCCCTTCTGTGGGAGGTACACAGGAGGACATTGAGGTCAATCTGTGTCTTAGCAGAAACTCTGGAAGGCTGGGAGTGGGCCTTTCCTTGCTGACCTCAGCATCTCAGCTCCCCAAGCATTGGGCACAGGCATTAGTATAGTCAGGAGGCCGGCGAACCGCTAAAAGCACAGCAGCCAACCCAGGGACTTCCTCCCAAATTTGGATGCTGGTACAGGGGAGAGTGAAACTCAACTTTTGTTCAAGAAAATGGGTGCTGGTGTAAATCTGAGGACATGCTAGGCTAAAGAGCACAGACATAGCTGGCCAGTCCTACAGGAGTTGGACTGAGAGAGAAAATCATGTCCCTCCAGGAGAGTAAGGGAGGAAGGTTTAGAAGGTCAGAGAAGCAGGAAAGGAAGGGAGGAAAGAAGAAAAAAGGAGGCACATACATGTACGGAGCCTCATTTAATCCTTATACCAACTGTATAAGGCTGGTACTATGGAATCTATTTTACTGACTTGGAAACTGAGGGTCAGAAAGGCTAAACTTATTTCTCGAGTTTGCACAACTAGTCAGTGGTGGACAAGACTGGACCATGCTCCATAACCCTGTTCTTTCGTCTGCCCCTGCTGCCCCATTGCAGGGCTGGAGTTGTCCGTCACAGACTTCCAAAGCTCCCAGAACAACATGTGGCACCACACGGAGGAGATCAGCTTTGACCACCTCATCGTTCGCCGGGGCCAAGCTTTCAACATCACTCTGTACTTCAGGAACCGGGACTTTGAGCCAGACCTGGACAAGATCATCTTCGTAGCTGAGACTGGTGAGAACCCCTGCTGGCACACAGGGGATGGTGTGGGGGTCAGAGTCTCAGGAGTTGCGGGGTTTCCTCAGAGGGCCTCAACTCTGCTTCCCTCCCTCCCAGGACCAATGCCTGACCAGGCCAAGGGAACTCGGGCTGTGTTCAGCCTGGCGGGTCGTCATGGCCCCAGCCCCTGGACGGCCTCACTGGAGACCAGCAGGGACAACCGCCTGGAGGTGAGCCTGTATGCCCCGCCCACGGCGCCTGTGGGTCGGTACCTCCTGAAGGTTCACATTGACTCCTTCCGGGGTTCGGTCACGGCCTACCAGCTCGGGGAATTCATTCTGCTCTTCAATCCCTGGTGCTCAGGTAAGGCAGGGTGCCTGTGTGGGGGTCCCTTGTCTCCGCCCCTGTGTCAATGCCACAGAGAGCCAGGATCAAGGATCTAGACCCTGCTCGCTGGGAACCCACAAACCTCCCCAATCCCATGCACTAGGCATTCACTCCCAACCACCAAAAAGCAAAAAAGGATAAATTGCTATTTATTGGCTTATCTAGAATTTTAAAATTATGAACCAAATCATCTTTACTTAAAAGGAAAACTAATATTACAATTAAGTTTAACCACTGTTAACATTTACCTTTATCATACATTTTAACTTAACTTGAGTTTTTTCATTGTAAGAATAATAAGTGAGTTGTGGAATGAAGTAAAGAGCAAAAGAAAGTAAGAAAGAAAAAGGAAAGAAAGAAAGAAGAAGAAAGAAACAAAGAGGAAGGAAGGAAAAAAGAAAGAGGTGATAAGTCAAACCTTATCCAGATCTCCAAGTTCCATTCTTCAGAGGAAATCCTGTTAGTGTTTTCTTGTGTAGCTTTACAAAAAATGTTCTATGCTTAATCAATTGTGTGTTTATTGCATATATGCATATGTGTGTAATTATATAATACATACCACACATGGGATTATTTAACACATAGTTTGCTCTAATTTGCTTTTTTTAATTAAAAAACTCAATGTTGGACATATTTTCCTGTCAGTACACTCTTTTTAACAGCTACAATCACATCACCATCTGGATGCGCCAAATTTTTAACTGGTTCCTATTTATTTGGGATGAAAACTTTTTGTCTTAAGCAAACACAGCTATAGGAAATATCCCAGAACTACCTGGTCCACAATCTCTGTCCTCTACATCTACCTGAGGGCAGGAGTAGTTCCACAGACCGCAGGTATGATGTGAGCAGAATGAAGGACAAGAGAGTAGGAAGAGGACAGAAAGAGATGAGAATGAGGGGTTGGGGGCAGAGGCCAAATTCAACCAATTCTCACCTCTGACGTAGAGGATGTCTCCCTTCTCTTACTCCCTCTCATTCTACTCTCTCCACCAATCTCATCCCAAAGGGGCCTGCTGCATTATGCTAGAACCCAGAACCCTAGCTAGGCTCTAATATCTCTAACCACCTCCCACTGCTCTATCACTGAATGATTCAGAACTCTTACCCATCAGCCAGATAAAGAGGCCCTGCCACTGGATCAAGGAGGACAGATGTCTGCTTGTTCTTTTTTACACACACACACACACACACACACACACACACACACACACACCCCTACCTGCCCTCCCAAACTGTGGGTTTCAGACTTGTACCGAGGATCCCCTGGAAATGTGGGGAAGAAAATGATATTTGTAGGCTCTTCTCTTTTAAAGCTTGAGTCCTACAAAAGAAATGATAAGGTCAAAGCCAACCCCTAAATTCTGGGTTGCTCTTTTCCAATCAGGATTCCTTAAGTATGGCAGAGCACAGAGCATGGAGTCACATAGGCCGTGTTCACCTTTCCCCCTGACGTGGGCAAGCTATTTATCACTCTGAGCCTGTTTCCTCCACCTTAAAATGGGGCTGGGATGTAAATGTGCTTTGCAAACCAATACATTCCACCACAGATAAGTTTTCACTGTTCCACCTCATTTTCATGTTGAGCCTGTTGCCGGTGTGGAGGGATGGTGGAGAGCAGGTCTTGCTTCCCCTCTTGGTGTCACCCTGTGCAGTCCTCAGAGTTCAGCTTCCATGCTTTCTGTGGATGGGGATGGGCAGGAAGGACAAGATGACGTTTCTGCTTTGTTTCCTAGGGGACACTGTCTTCTTGGACAGTGAGCCCCAGCGGCAGGAGTACGTCATGAATGATTACGGCTTCATCTACCAAGGGAACAAGAACTGGATCCGCCCTTGCCCCTGGAACTATGGGCAAGTGAGTCTCAGCCCAGCTCATGGACCATCAAAAGGAGAGGGAAGCTGGAGGGGGATGGGATGATGCTCTCATGCAAGGTTTATCTAGAACTACTGAGTAATGGGAACTAAATGGTATAATACCTGGAAGATGTGAGATGTGACTCCAGGAGCTAGAGGAGCAGCCATAGAAAGTTGGAATGTTCTCTGCTGACTGTGTCAGGATTAGAGAGAGAAGGGCAGCTGAAGGTACCCACCCAGGAACTCCACTGAGTATGAGAGTGAGGATGAAGGCACAACAGCAACAATGGCCATGGTGGTGCCTCCTTTTTGTTTGTTTGTTAGCTGTGTTTCTAGTGTGGTTTCTAGATGTTTCTCCACACACACACATATTCTAAATCATGTGACTTTATTTGTAAAAACAGCATCGAATGAATCACAATGCGCTACAGCAGCCCAGCCTTCAGCAGGTGCTCCAGGAAGTCCAGAACCAGGCCAGGGAGGAGGGTTCTTGAGGCTGGCCCCGGCACTGGGACCCTGGCTCAGAGCTCTTATCCATCAGAGAGAAACGATTTTTCAGCCAGTCAGGCACAGAGGGGGAGAGGACCAGCCCTGCCGCCCTCGGGGGTGTCAGCTCAAATTCCCAGGGGGAGGTGCGGAGCGTGTGGAGCCTTGTTTCAGTTTGCTATGTCTTCCTCTCCGGGACTTGGCCAACACGTGTGGCCTCAGGTCTCCCCCACCCGCCTGCAGGAGGGTTGAGTCAAGATGAGACATAGCAGCCTAAACTGGCCCCAACTGACATCCCCACACCCTCACTCAGCATGGGCAGAGGGGGATCTTAGTGAGTCCCTGGATAGGAGGTTGTTGCCTCTGAGCCCTGGGTCCTCCCATATCTCTTATTCAGTAACGTCCACTGAAAGCCTGCTCAGTGCCAGGCAGGGCTCTAGGTGCAAGAGGTATAAAGATGAATAAAACACTGTCCCCGAGCCCACAGTGAAGTGGGGACCCAGTCATATAAGCAGGCCACTTATGCAGCGTGACATGGAAAGATTGCCAGACAGGCACAGGGGCCTCTGAGAGCCGAGGAAGAGCTCTTGGTTGGGCGTGAGGCTGTGTGAGAAGCTTCCTGGAAGAGGAGATGCTTGAACTGAGTTAATCAAGAGAAGGGAGGTGGGGGGGGGGGCATCACAGGCAAAGAGCGAGATGAGCCAAGATACAAAGGTGGGGATCAGTTTGACCTGCTGCAGGGGTTACAAGGAATCTGGAGTTGCTGGAGCAAAGCTGGTGAGGGTCCTGAGAAGTAGAAGGCCAGGGAGGGCCTATGGGTCTTGTAAAGGAGGCTAGAGCTTTGATTCTGTAGGTCACAGTGATCTTTGAACATTTTAAAGCAGAAAAGTGAACCAATCAAATGATCCCTTGGGGAAAATGAATCAGAGAGCGTCCAAATCCTGTTTATTACATGGAAATCAATTAATTCACGTACCCTCATTCAACAAAGATGCGCAGAGCCCCTACTGTGCCAGATCTGGGGTGTGAAGTTCCACGGAAAGTTGGAGAGATACAGGGCATACACTTAGGCAGGGAAGACAGACCTTGGCTACATCATTAAACCTGAGCCTGATGAGCAGAGATGCAGCCAGCGCTATGAAGCTAAGCCAGGCTTGGACTCAGCGAAAGGCCTCAGGACAAGCGGCATCCTCACCTCGCCTGCCTTGGGTGGGAAGTTTCCATAACGCACATGCTATTAGTCAGCCCACAGCCCTGCTGAATCGCAGGCACCATGGCAAGTTGGGGCCATCGCCTTAGCCTTAACTACCAATGATGAGCTGGATCAGCAGGTAGGGGAGGAAGATGAGGCAATGTGGTTTTAGCAAGAATAGCTCATGAGGTCCAAGAGTGTGGAGATTGAGGAGAGAAGAGAGAGAAATGATTTTTCAGCCGGTCAGACACATTAGACAAAACTCCAAGGGTTTGACTTTCAGGACATACCACGTGGGGGAGTCGTGATCCCAGAGCTTTGAGACCCTGTACCTGCCCCCGAGTTCATGGCTGTGCTACTAGACACAGTTACCTTCCAAGTGGGTTTGCATTTCAGAAATCAGCTACAGTCCTCCGCTCTACCAGCTGAGCTATCGAAGGGACCCAAGTGGGTTTGCATTTCAAACACACTCCATCGGAGAGCTGAGTGGGGCGGCTCCATGTCTCCACGTGTGAAGCCTCTCTGCATCTCTCCTTGCAGTTTGAAGACAATATCATCAACATCTGCCTGGAGCTGCTAGACAAGAGCCTGAACTTCCAGATGGACCCAGCCACAGACTGTGCTCTCCGGGGAAGCCCTGTCTACATCAGCAGAGTGGTGTGCGCCATGGTGAGGCTGGGTCTGGGTTTGCCCACTCAGGGCATGTGCAGAGAGGGAGGACGTGGTGCCAGGGGAGTCCTGCTCACAGTTGCCCCTGAAATGGGAGAATGAGGAGTTGAGAGGCACGGGCCCTCTTGTAAAGCCATTATGGCTAAGGCTAATGAAAGTATAGCTAAGAGGCTTTTCTCAACTGAGCTCTGAAATAGCTGGGGGTGGGCCGTCATGTCTATTGATTCCAACTGCGTGTTTTGGGAAAGGCTGAGCAAACCTGGAGTTTGTGAAATGATCTTATTGTTTCTAAGTTTCTTTCGCTCTGAGTATTTTTAAAAGCCAAGCTCTAGCTTTTCAGGGGATGGGGAAGAGAGGGGTAAGGGGATGTGTAGAAATAGAATAATAAACCAATTACCAGTGGAACACGAGTCAGAATGGCCAGCTTCACATCCTGACCCCTTCCCCAGCGGGTCCGGAAGTTCCCAGGTAAAATGAGAGCAAAGCCTTCTCTGTGTCTCAGGCCCACAGGCCCTGCGAGGCCACTCACACCTCACCTCCTGCTGATGAAAAGGCTGCTTCTAATTCTTCTATGTATGGCTTCTCTCCAGATCAACAGCAATGATGACAAAGGGGTGCTCAATGGAAAGTGGAGTGAGAATTTCTCAGACGGCACCAACCCTGCCGAGTGGACTGGCAGCGTGGCCATCCTGAAGCAGTGGCACTCCACAGGCCAGCCAGTGCGCTACGGGCAGTGCTGGGTCTTTGCAGCCATCATGTGCACAGGTAGGAAGAAGAGAGTTCCCCATGACATGACAAAAAATGCAATGGCTTACATATTAGCCCTCCAAGTAATTCTTATCCCCATCTCACACAGTTCCCACCAAAAACATTGGGAAGGAAACCCTTTCCAGAAAAAAAAAAATGTCTTCACTAACCTCAGGCTTCACAGATGTGGGCTTATGTCAGAGGATGGTTTTGAGGTAGAAATCACACACTTCCCGGAACCTGGCACCCTTCCCTCTCTTCTCACAGAGCCTGGCTCCAGATTGTCTGGTGCAAGCTAGGAAAGAGAGGAGAGGCCAAGTAATTAGAAAACCTTGCAAAGTGATTAGATAGAGAATGGTCTTAATGAAGATGTTCATATGAGAGGGAAATGTGCATCTGAGCAGCGGTGTATGGACCATGGGCCAGAGCAAGGTGCCCGCCAAAGTGCAATGACCTGGAATTTGGAGCGGCACAAGTTTGGAGGTCTGGAGGCCTGGCTCAGGCCGGGGGATGAGGGGTCAGGGGAAATGGTAGATCAACTTTTCAGCTAGGGAGTAGATGCAACAATAGTAAAAGAAAAGCTAAAAAGAATAGTAGCCACCTGGGAAAGAAGGCAGGTGGAAGTTGGTTTGCATGTGACAAGAGGTGCAAGTAGAAGGAAGTGGCAGGTAAATGCTGAGGAAACTGATACTTGGAAACGAGTTGCACACTGAGGAGCTCCTGGCCCTCACCCTCACCCTGCCCTCCGGCCTAGGCCAGCTCAGCCTCTTGGCATGCTTATCCATACACTTGACGTGGGTCACAATCAGGAAGTTGTGAATGTTACCTGGGGAAACATGCCAAGGGTGGCTTTCGTTCACAGCACTCTCTAGTGCAATCCAGGGAGGCCAGATCTGCCCACAACTTGGTTTAATCAAGGAGTGAGGCCTTTTGTGTAGAAATTCTCTAGAGAACAAAGTCTGGTGCACTCTGTATGCATGTGTGTGCTGAGTACAGCTCCAGTCTCCTGGAGGAAGCCAGAGAGCCCCGGGCTGTGAGCAAAGGCCAGGCCTCTGTCCAAGGGCACAAGGAGGTCTCTGTCAACACCCACAGAGGGGACTTCACCCAGGTTGGTGAGGAGGAGGCCGCAAACCACTCTTCCCCTGCAGCTGCACAGCCTTGCGTTGAATGCTTTGATTGGTCAAAGAATCATTTGTCTGTCGGTGTTTTGTTTTGTTTTAATAAGAAACCGGGAATTTGACAGCTTTGATTGTGTGACAGATGAGAGTTAAGGGCATTTGGGTAAACTAGGATGTCTGAGTCATTGAGAGAGGAGGCAGAGGACGGATCAATCTTGTCTGTGCACGATAGAGAGGAAATCTTCCTGTGCCTGGAAAAGCTTCGAGTCTAATGGGCCAGGTGTACGTGTGTAAACGAAAGGGCCAGGATTTGGTGTGTGATTATCGGGAACTGGTTGATGACAGAGGAGGAGCCAGTGAGCGGAGATTATGAAAGAGAGGAGACCAATTAAAATGTTTATGAGAATAATGGCCCTATGGTGATCTGGAAAGTAAAGGGTTGGGCAAGGTGAGTCAAATGTGGGCTACGTGGGTCCAACTGAAGCTAAGTTAGCACCAGCCTTCCTGGAAAGACTTACCATGTTGTATATTAATGAGTATATCAGTTTTTAAAACTCATTCCAATAACCCTTATTTATTGAGTCCTTATTCTATGCTAGGCACTATGCCTCAAATACCTTTGGATACAAAATTGAGTAAGACCCTGTATCCTCCACTAAAAGTTAGAGATTTATCAGGCTCCTTAACCCGGTTCATCCGCCCAAGCATTACTGTTATTCACAATCACAATAGCTGATGGTTATGGAAGACTTCCTTTGTTCCAGGAACTGGGCTAAAACTTGGACAGCTTTAGAGTAATGGTGAGGCATGTGGGCTCCAGAAGTAGACTGCTCGGCTTCAGAAACCAGCAAGGCCATTAGTTGGCTGAATAACTTTGGACAAATCACTTAACATGTGCCTCACGTTTCCTCAGAGGATTAAGTTCATGCATGGAGAATTCTTAGAATAGAGCCTGGCTACAGTGAGTGTTCAGGATTAGCTAGGATAGTCCTGTTTGATCCTTCAAATGACCTTATGAATTAGGTCCTATCATCACCTTAATTTTGCAGATGGAGAGGTTGAGTGGTAGAGTGAAGCTCATATCCAGTGCAGCATGCTCTAACCACAAGGCCGTATACTGCACAGACATGACTAGCGGCCACCATGTATCTAGCATTCTCTGTGCTTCAGGCACACACTGAGCACTTTCATACTTTCTAATCCCCACAACCGCTTGCAAAGTAGATATCATTACTGTCACTTTACAGGTGAAAAAAAAGAAAATCAAAAGTGATCAAGCGACTCTTTTCTGACCCAGAAGTACATCCTCCCATCTCTACTTCCCAGTATTGTGTTTTTTATTTAAAAAAAATTTTTTTTAAAAATATATTTTTTACAGAGAGGAAGGGAGAGAGATAGAGAGCTAGAAATATCGATGAGAGAGAAACACCAACCAGCTGCCTCCTGCACACCCCCTACTGGGGATGTGCCCGCAACCAAGGTACATGCCCTCAACTGGAATCGATCCAGGACCCTTCAGTCCACAGGCCAACTCTCTATTCACTGAGCCAAACCGGTTTCGGCCCAGTATTGCGTTTTTTAATGTGAACTAATTGACATTGAGTTCCTAAAGAAAAATCGCAGAAATGAAACTTTGGATGCATCAAAAATAGTGCTATAATTTTGGATGGCCTGTTTTCTTGACAACTGTTTAGTTGTCTATTACTTGGAGAATTTCAGAGAAATTCCTGGCCTACACTTTAATGTTCAGACCCAGCTGCCCCGAGACTCAGTCATCCTGTTCTGGCCATCCACTCCTTATGACAAGGTCAGCCCCTCAGCCCTTGGCTGAGGTCTGTAAAGTATCCAGGAAGCCTCAGACTGTACAAGAAACAGAGGGGACAGTGATGATCTGTTGCCTGAAAATTCACCCCAAAGCCAGGAGTCCAAAATCCACTTATTGTATGATTTCATATATGTACAATGCCCAGAATAGGCCAATTCATAGAGACAGGAGAGTGGATTAGTGATTGCCAGGGCAGGGGGGAGGGGGGATGGAAAGTAACTGCTAGTAGACATAGAGGGTTTTTTTTAGGTGAAATGTTCTGAGATTATTAGTGGGGATTGTTGTACAACCTGTGAATATACTACCAACCACTGAAGTGGTGACTCTAAAAGAGTGAATTTTACAGTATGTGAGTTATCTCAATAAAGTTTTTTTTTGTTTGTTTGTTTTTTGTTTTTTTTTTAAGCCAGGCATCCTGGGAATATGCCTGGTCCTGGTAGGTTCCTACCCACAGCTGCCTGGGGTAGCAGTGGGGGCAGAAGTGAGGGGCTGAGGGTCGGAAGACTTGAACATGTGACTGTGAGCAGGTATCCGTGTGGTATCATCTCCTCTCTGAAGTAGGGCACTTGGCCCTGAGCCAAGGTGGGAAATGGTGGGAAGGTGAGGAGGCTGAGAGCTTGGGGCTGGGCACCTCCTCTCTTCACGGATCTAAGATTTCTCCTCACTTGTTTGTATAGAGTTATTTCAATATAATAGCTCTTGCCCTCATTGTTTTTACTGAGTCATTTACTCTGAAAGAAAGGAACCTCAGTCAAGGCCCTCGTGATTTACTTAGCTTCAATCTTTGGCTTACACACAAATCTACCATTATTCTCCATGGATTTATGAGGCATCAAGGATTGTATGGAATGTTCCCTCACTGAGTTGTTAATTGATATGTGGCAATCATCTAGAAAAATGCCTGGCACATGGTTAGTTTTACATAAGTGTTAGCTATTATAATTAGTCTCCCGATGTTTTCATCTCTGCCTCTTAGGATCCAAAGGTCTTGCAGGCTCTTGTTTAAAAGGTTTCTATTTTTATTTAATTATTTTTTAAAATATATTTTTATTGATTTCAGAGAGATGAAGGGAGATGGAGAGAGATAGAAACATCAATGATGAGAATCATTGATTGGCTGCTTCCTGCGTGCCCCCGCTGGGGATTGAGCCCACAAGCAGGGCATGGGCCCAGACCAGGAATTGAACCGAGATCTCCTGGATCATTGGTTGACACTCAAACACTGATACACACCGGCTGGGCTCTACCACTTTTTGGGTTTATTTCCTTGCTTTGTTCCTTGGAGTGTTTGGGATTAAATTAATCATATTCCTCGTGTCATGGCATTTATCATAATAGGTCTTCTTCAGGCTCCTCATTTAAAACAAAATGTAACTAATTAATTGATTCCCCCCATTTATCTCATAAACCATTTCCATTTACTTCCCCCCAAGAGAGGGAAACATTTTTAAAAATATATATTTTATTGATTTTTTACAGAGAGGAAGGGAGAGAGATAGAGAGCTAGAAACGTCGATGAGAGAGAAGCATTGACCAGCTGCCTCTTGCACCCCCCCCCCCCACCGGGGATGCACCCGCAACCAAGGTACATGCCCTTGACCGGAATTGAACCCGGGACCTTTCAGTCCGCAGGCCGACGCTCTACCACTGAGCCAAACCAGTTTCGGCGGGAAACATTTTTATGTGTTTAATATACAGCATTGTATTTAAAGGTGTTCTTATAAAAAAGTATATTACATTTTGTTGCTGTTGTTAATCATCACCCAAGGATATTTTTCCATTGGTTTTTAGAGAAAGTGGAAGGGAGAGAAAGAGGGGGGAGAGAGAGACATCGATGTGTGAGAGAGAAATTAATTGGTTGCCTTCCAACCCATGTGAATGCCCTTGACCAGGAATTAAACCAGTAACCCTTTAGTGTGTGGGCCAACACTCAAACCATCCAGCACACTAGCCAGGACAGTATACTAGTATTGTTATCTTTGTATATTTTGTCCAGTATTTTTGTTTTGCTTTGTTTTATAGATTGTATTTTTTTCACCTTTAAAAGTTCCATTGGGCCCTAGCTGGTTTGGCTC